TTAGGTGTTTAGGGGTTTAGGGGTCGAGCGCAGAAAATGGCAACAGCTCACTAGCAGCCGCGCAGTCGTACAAGTATAGATCCCAAGGATAGTGGATACGATGCTGCAAATTACAGCTGTTGAAGGCGATGGTTCTCCCGCCGGGCAAGTGGGCATTTCTCAGTATACTCTCTACAATAACCCTTGTTGTAACCCGATATTTCTCTGCGTTCCCAGTGGGCGCTTTCATGACTGATTTTCTTCTTCTTCAGTACTGCTACGAGTTTCGGGGCTTGAGCCCCGATCCTTTACCTTTAAATCATAAGCTCTAAATGAGGTAGAGTTTTTGAGCAGATTTTGGTGCGTATTGGAGGTTCCCTAAGAATATTCGAGCGGATATTCTTATATATTATATGGGTTGCCCGTTTGACATCTAGGAGCCCATACAGTGGATCCACCATAGGTGCAAATCATGCCTAGGGTATCAAGTTCTGAAGATGAGGCCGACGAGCACCAGGCACCGCTGGTTACGCTGCTCACGGCATTGCCGCTGCGCGGCAGGGTCCAGCAGCTGGCACATCAATGGCTAATGATGCGGAACACAAAAAGTGTAAGCAGAATTGAACTGTTGGACTACTTGTGTTTCTGGTGACGCACCCTGTAGTAGTCATGCTACGGCTGGTGCTGGGGTTGCTTGTTCTTCTTTGCGGAATCGAGTGCGCTGAAGTAGCACGATTTGCAAGACCCACTGCCAGTGCCAGAGCTTGGCAATTTCAGTCCTAGCGGCTTCAACAGCCACAACGAAGGCACAGATGCAGTTCTCGCTCGCAGCAGCCAGAGCAACAGTTTCCGGAGTAGACTTTGCACGTAAACCCAGATGATGCTAATGCCTACTGCAAACATGGCAAAGCAGTTGACTCGGCTACACAATGCGCAGCTAGCGCTCGCAGCTTCTCGTGGTCTTTGTACTCGGTCCACAGAGCAATTTTGGAGTCTATAAGTTCCTTCAATTTGACAAGCTTGTCATTACATTGGGCTCACTCATGGCCTTTTCCCGTGGATAAAGGCATCATGCGCCAGTCCTTTGATGAACGAAGCGTCTGCCCCTGCTGCTATGCCCAAGTCAGTGTGTTAGGTAGAACAGAACCACCAATTCTTCGGGGCTGAGCTGGGCAGGCAAGCATTCAAGTCAACTGCAGCCTAACATCCTAGAGTCCCTTCTTGTTTTTCTCACAGATTAAACCATAGTAGACCTGTATCTACCTAGTGGTTGAGGGTCTGGGTTCAGGGCGGCTTTCGTCCCCCACGCCTAATCCCAAGCACTTGACCCGATACCCCCAGTGGTGATACCCTACCCCAAATAGTTATGGACTGAGGCCCCACGGCTACTGGTTATCAGTAGGAAAAAAAAGGGAATATAAGCCCTACATGATCCCTGTACGATACATTCCCTAATTCCGTACCCGAAACCCTATACCCCCCTCAGCTTCCTGATGCACCGGAGCCATGTCCAAGCGCATCAGTTTCGAGGCGACGGCCGAGGCGCGAGATGTGAATTTTCAGAAATGCCATGGAAACCCCCATCCTCTAACCCAAGTACTTCAGACGAGATTACGGTGAGGTGCAAAATTTCATCCATCAACTTAAGGACATTTTCCTGCACGTGCAAATATGGTTCTAGCTGACCTCGCTGATTCAACCACTCCGTCATCAACCTCCTACATGCGAAGCTGTCTCATGCAAGCTTTCAACTTAGATTCTTGTCGACAGTACGGACACCCAGGCAAGTCCACATGAAACTGCTACAAGCCTCCAACAAAACATTAGATGGTTCATTCCTGCAAAACTTCAGGGCATCCCACCTGATCCCCTCAAAAAGCATATGAGCTAGACTCTAAACTCCTTAGAGGGGGTTATATAGTAGAGTATCCTACGGGTTATTAAGGGGGATACTAGGAGCTTCGAGAATGGCTCACATAGACGTTCTTCTGAACCCTTGTAGCGCTCGGACATCATGCCGGGCCGGTCGTATTTTTGCGCCCAAACCTCTTGGCCCTTCACTATTTTACCTTAGAGCCAAATGCATACCCTTAACCCCTTACGTCATGGGCTTCCCTTTAAGCAGCCTGAACTCAAAACCCTGAAATTCAGGGCTTAGGGGTTAGGGCCCATCCCCTTTGCCCTAAACCCCAAGCACGTGGTTCGGCAAGGGCAACGAGGCAGGACCCAGAAAAACCGAATTCTTCGCAGCGCGAAGGACACTGCAGTGCCTTGTCTAAAGGTTTCAAGGGCCTATAGTCGCCCTTAAGTAGATAGAATATGGGGCATATGGGGATCTTATTATGACATACCCAAAGCCATATTCTGTCTACTTAAGGGGACTGTAGGCCTCAAGGTCTAGGACGTGGGTTAAGGGTTTAGGGTCCAAGGAGTAAAGGATGAGGATTAAGGATTGAATTAGAGTTTAGGGTCGTTTAGGTTTATTCAAGCATTCCCGAAAACCTTCTTCTGATTATGTAGGCCCCACAGCACATGGAACCTAAGCCCCCGGCAGCATTCTCATACTTTGGGATAGCATGCCTAAACTCTATATACTTCCGAGATGTCCACAAAATAATAGCAATCACGAATCCCCTCTCCCAATATGACAGGCCTCCACCCCAAGGTGAAAGATTCCCATTATGCTATCCTGTGAATTGGGTGTTTTCGATGTAAGGGCGGAAGGGGTTTGTATATCAGCCCTAAACCCTAAACTAAACCTTAGATAATGTTACGGTAGGTTCCATTTTCGATTCCATCCCCCTATATTTCCCCATTATGTCCCTTCGAGGGGCTTCAAGGAAAGGATTTAATAAAGTTCATCTTCAGGGGAGATACTTCACACAGCACAGTATATAACACTATGTAACCCTAGACTGGATTCTTTATTTGATGCTCTATTCTTGTGGTACAAGCCCTAAACCTTGAACCCTTATATAAACCCTAAACCCTAACCCCTAAACCCTCAACCCTAACCTGGAACTCCAAAACCCTAAATCCCAAACCCTCAACCCTAACCTGGAACCCCAGAACCCCAAAGCCCTAAACCCTAAACCCCAAACCCAAAACCCTAAATAAACCCCAACCTGCTTCCTCAGGCCTACTGCCAGACCCAGGGCTTCGATACTACAAGCCAAAGCCGGCGAAGGTGGGCGAAGTCGGACGGACGGGGAACAAAAGAAGGCTCTATCTGGACCCCTTAAAGTGGGTAAAGCAATTTCCCGAAACTTAAAAAAGTCCGAAAGGCCTGAAACCCATTAATGCAAAGCCCAACAGGCTATGATTCTGAAAATCTTGGGGGTTCATGTGCTTAGGATTTAGGTTTGCAGGTTTTAACTTCGGGCTTTGGGATTCGCGTCTAGAATTTTGGGAATAGGACTTTTGCGGGAAAGGCCCGTCCATGAATACGATTAGGGCTGGATGGTTAGGGTTCTTGCGTTAGGCATGTTTGCTTATGTCCTATTCGAAAAGTCGGAGTGAGTGTGCGCCGTAAGCCGTGTGGTAACGCAGCTTGCTTCATTCCGGACCTACTTACTACGTCCCCTTGACACTCCAAGACCCTGAACCCCAGACCCTAGACCCTTGAACCTAAACCCTTCGCAACGGGACGTAGTAAGTAGGCTAATATTGGGGATAACTGGGGTCACTCTGTGGCGTTTAGGCGTTAGAAGTATACTTACTTGGTCCCCCTGACCCTAAACCCTAAACCGTAAATCATATACAGTAGTTTCCATTATGGCTTGTACGGGTTACAAGTATGCTTACTAAGTCCCCTGGCCCTACAAGTACCCGCCGACCCCTGCCTGGACCCCCAAAAGCATGCAGAATAGCGGCCTTCACTGGCTCTTATTAGGGTTTAGGGTTAACGTAAACCCTAGGGGGAGGGGATTGCACACTACTTGTGTTGGGGGTACTTTGTGGCCAGGTCCACCTGTCGACTCCTAGGGTTTAGGGTACTATATGGGGGTTCTGAAATGGAAACTACCAGGAATTATTCAGGGATATATAGGAGTTATATAGGCATAATGTAAAAGAAAAAGGAAGCTACTATGTGGGGTTCAGGGTTTACCTTGACATTTCATGAACTGAAGGAAGATCAAAAATTGCCTAAATGTTGTCATCGGCAAACGCTGGGTCATCATATATGGTAGTTGTCCATGAATAGGGGATCCCAATATAGACCCAAATATTATATAATCCTTGTTATAGAGACCCCCAAGCAGGTATCCCTAATTTTGAGCGAGCCCCATATGTGTATGTCCATATGGACCGCACCTTTTTTTGCAGATGCCTCATGGCGATGACCATTCCCCAAGTTAGCCTCAGCCTTAGGTACAAAAGCAGCTAGATCCTGGTGAAGGATCTTTCAGATTTTGCGGGGTATGGATGCTCGCATACATTTCATATAACTTCAACAAGTGTTGGTTCTTCCTGGGGGAAAAGCAATTTAGTAGATGAGAAGCTTCGATCTTATAATGCAGTTCTCTCATGCCATACTTTTTGTGACTATTGTGCAATCCATACCGAAACCAAGTTCGATGTCTTAGGCCCCTACGTTGTGTAAGTTTCTGAAAATGTTCCCCATATAACCCCTACTCTAAGAGCGAGCCCCATGCTCCTCCTTTAGTGCCCATATCCCTAGGGTCCCCAGGGGCCCTTATTTTGAGAACCCAACCACATGTCGAGCGACGCCATCTAAACCCTAAACCCTAAACCCTAAACCGCGGCAGGCAAGAGGGCGACCAGAGGTAGTGTCGATGCGGTAACTGCCGAAGCCTCAGCGTTTAGCTTTGCCAGGCGTTTAGGGTTTAGGGTTTAGGGGGAATGTTCCAACATGTAAACACATGAGCTCAGGGTTTAGGATGTGGCCCTCCGTCCCGATACGAGAGAGGGAGCCTTCCTTCCTGCCCTGATCATGAAGTATATCAATACCAAAAGCTTTGTTGAATACATCATTCGATGCCTAAAGTCCCAAGATTTGAGAACTTGGACCCTGACGGAAGAAAGTTGAACAACGGGCCAGGCAAATCCCCTCCCTCAACCTTAAATCTTCAATCCTCAACCCTCCCCCCAATGACCCTAAAGCTCTAAACCTAAACAATGATGCCCTTGTGCTTCTAAGGGCGGGTCGGAGTCTATGTTCGGCGCGCTGAGGATGGGTTCACCATGTGGGGATATCCATAAATCAGGGGCCGTAGTATAGACCTCAATACACTGTAATCCCTACATTTTTAAGGATTCTCAAGCATGGAGCCCCCAATTTGCCGCAAACCTCCATATCACTTTTGCAAAAGTGGGTGTACCCTGAAGGGGGCGCGGGGTGACGATTACGGATAGTAAAGCTTAAAGGCCACGGGACGCCGGGGACGCTACAATTCCTAGTTGCAGTCCCAAAGGGTCCATGTAGGTATATGGTATATACTTAGGGCCCAAACGGGTTCCCATATACCTACTTTAAGGCCCAAGTATATCCCATATACCTACATGGACCCTTTGGGAGTTGTAGTTTCGACTAGAGGATGG